CTGGGAAATGGTCTGAAAGTGTCAGCTGCAATTTTGGATAAGACTTTAATTGTTCAGAGAATTTTATTCATACGATAATTTTCAATAATTAAATATTGTTTAAATACGGTTTATTAACACAGCTATAATCCAATGAAGCAGCTTGCCACAGTGGTTCGGCTGTCAGATTCTCAGATTTTCTAAGATATAATTTATAATTAAGTACACAGCTAGCTAACAGCATCGGGCTTAAACTACACCTGGTAGTTGTATTTAATCGCAGTAGTTTCACCGGCTATTCATCATCCGATGACTGACTCATGGATGATAAGTCATAGACTTATCATCATTCTAGTCCTGCATGATTCAGTTCGAAAATCATCTGCAGCAACGAGTGAAAACTTTCGTAGCTGAAGTTCATGATCCGCGGCAGTCGAGGCCCAGACTCCTTTAGTCGCAATCCGGTTGCATATACTTTAAAAGGAATAAATTTTAATAGAATCTATTATGTCTTATTAACGTTTTCAGCATGCATTTGGAATAGTAAATACAGCAAAAATAGCATTACAAGAGAAACCTTAAGCAATCACTTCGAAATGAATGTGTTTGAGGGACAGACCGAAAATGTCAGTAGCCTGTCAATGAACTAATAGCCGTCTATCTTCTAGTTTTAAGTCATTCAAGTAAGATAAACCATGCTTTAGCAGTTTAGCGGTCTGAAGTGACCGCTGTAAGATTAGTCTTCCATTTAGTAGAACGAACGTGCGGAATCAGCCGGTAATTCCCGCATTTGCATTTTTGGGCCATTTTTAATAAAGCTGACACATGGATGTCATCTCTTTGAACTCCACTCAAGAGCATGCAGATTAACCATCTCCTTAAACCATGAAAAATGTACAAAACTGACGACATTATTTCGTTTGGTAGAAATTCGTCCACAACTTCAACAGGAAGAAAAAGCTGAACATTTTTTGCCTGGACAACAGAATCAAGGTAAGCGCCGCCTAATATTTTTTCATTAAGTGATGCAGTACCCGATTAGTGTTACCCTGAACGTCATGACCAGTTTGTAAAACACTTAATTTCAAAAGTCTGTCTGATTTTTTAGAGACATGAAAGGCAATAAAAGCATAATTTTGAGTTGCATTTCAATAACACTGCTTCAGCAAGACCATCAGTTTGATTTTTAACATTCTTTATGATAACTATCGCTCTAACCTCGATGTATTTCTGTGTCTTGAAGCTTCTGTTCTTGTCTTCAAGGTAAAGCGGGTGAAACCAGTCGAGTAGAGAAAAGTACAGGCCAAATTTTATGCCAGCCTTGCGGATCGATTTTTCGAGTTGTCCTTGAACGATAGGCATTAGTTAAATAGACATTTTTTAGAAGCGTTCAATATTACCGACAAGGTCCATATGAGCGCCGACGTCATAGCTGTTCCAATTCCACGAATGCTTACTTGGCCACAACGTATACCCCTCATGATGCTTG